AAGATAGGCATATGAATATCTTGTTTGAAAGGGCTGTTGTAATCTGTCTTGCATTCTTTCTGTCCTCTTCCCATAACCTTCCTGAAGTGAAGCAAGGGGAGATCAGACTTAACATTTTTATGCTACTTAATTCTACTATGGTCTTCTCTCCTGCTGTCCTTGCCAGTATACTGCCCTCAACTGCCATTGACTTAATGACACGGATCCTGTCACATCAATTTTGACTTTATAGACCTAGGATCCTGAAATAGGTACTCTATTACAGACAATTTTTTGTCCCCTGGATCTACTCATCTATTTTCCTGTCCATCATTTCTTTTCTACTTCTGCCTTGTCCCTCATCTGAATACATTTACCTCTACTCTAAACCAACAATGGGGTTCCTGAAGAATTTCAGAGGACATTTATGCCTCCCCTTCAAGACCTGATCCAAAGTTATGATGTCTTTGTCTGTGTGTACCCCATGTTGTAACCAAAATGGCATCACCACATCCAGCTACTTAATCCAGAAGCTGTTGAATTATACTTGAGTCATCTTTGAATGGGTCATGTCAGAGTCTCATTCCCACATTCAATCCCACATCCAATTTATGATGAATTCTCTTCATCCTAAATTCACATCTCTCCATGGTCCAAGTCACCAGTTTCTATTCCCTGAACATCTCCAACAGCCTCCATCCTGGTTTTCCTAATTCTATTTGTGCCTGTCCCCATAAATTGTCCTCACAATAGTTAGGCTAATCAAAAAAGTGAATTAGGTTATACTTTTTTTCTACTAAAATCATTTCAAGGCTTCCTCACTTCTCTGAGGTAAAACCCAAGATATTCAATAAGATCATGTCTTCCTTTTCAACCCCCTTTTACATTCCTTTCCCTCCTCTACTATACTTCATGCTGGTGGGCCTTACTTCCCTTCTATATTTGTGCCTAAATTTTTCTGCTGTGGTCTTTGGATAAGATTTTCCATCATCCTCAAATACTGTTTCTCCTTCATAATCTGCTTTACTGTCACTCTTCCCATGTAAATCCTTCAGACTCCACAGAGTGTGGTTGGTGTTGTGACCAACTGTTTTTCTCTTTTATAGAAAGTTACAACTTTCTTTATAGACTTAATATAGTTAGAGCTTAGGTATATTCTGTATAGTTAAGATGACTGTCTCTTTTTTATTGGACTACAGCCATGTCTAAATTACTGTATTCACCAATAGGTATCCAGGTACTGAAACTATTCCTGAGACAGTGAGTTGCTGAATAATTACGTGTTGAAAAAATAATTAAATAAAGATATGACTGCAGGTAAAACTCAAAGTGTAAATACTAAAACAGCAACCACAGAAGATTGTATATTTCAAAGACACTCACAATATTACCCACCCTAATAACTCTTCTAGAACCTTGCCACATATACATCAAAAGTTTGTTGAAATGTTTCTGTGTATTGTCTTTTGAGTGTGTTGTGGTTCCTCAAAACCATGACTGTGAAATCTCTTTCAAGCAGGTTGTTAGTCTTCCCTTTAGTGTCAATCCCTGCACTTTACTTTGTCCATTGGTAACATCACATTCTCCTGATTATTCTTCATGCTTGTGTGTGTGTTGATGTTTGTACATTGGAAAGCTGGTATTTATTCTACTGTCTGCACTCTGGCTTAGTTTGAGATGCTAGAAATACCCCAGTGCTTGGACAGAGTAAGTGAGAGGTCCCTAGTGTTTCCATTGTCACCAGGGACCACAATCCTAGCTACAGAAGAGTCCTGAAGTTCTCAATCATCCCAACGTAAGATATTTCTGATGCACACAAAACTGCACTAACCTGAAGAAGGAACATGCATAGGGTCACTTCACCATCTGGGCCCCAGTCAGCTGCAGCATGGTGCCACACTCAAAGCAGATCCACTGCCAAATAGACTTTTCTGAGAAACAATAGTGCTTGTATATATGCATCTCTCAGGTGCCATGAGCAGTTCTGCACACTGAGACAGTGGCTGGAGCATAGACACTCAGTTAGACAAAGTGGTATGGTTAGGACATGTGTGCACACAGTAGGGAGTGTGAGAAGAAGCCTATGGCC